TTCTGATGGGATCCGGCGTAGTAGCCAAGGTATGATCGTACCACGTGCAGTCTCCTGTCCGCGGTCCGCTTCCCACTCCTCCCCCGAGGCAGCTCCCCTCTTTATAGTCACATCCGCGAACGTGCCCGCAAGAGGCTCGCCATCTCGCTGGGGGCGGAATGGACGCCCATACGTAGTCGCGCTCCGTGCGTCCTAAGCAGAGAGCGGCCCTCCGCAGAGCGGCGCGACATCGCGCCCGGGCGGTTCGGAGAAGAATTCCTTTCTTTTCCCACTGCCCCTCCGGGCACGGGACAGGCAGAAATGGGTACGACACGAGGACTTCCGGGAGGTCACCCTGCCAGTAACTGCTCTCAGCCCACTGGCGCTACGCTGCGGAGTTCTGATGGGATCCGGCGTAGTAGCCAAGGTATGATCGTACCACGTGCAGTCCTGTCCGCGGTCCGCTTCCCACTCCTCCCCCGATGCAGCTCCCCTCTTTATAGTCACATCCGCGGTCGTGCCCGCAAGAGGCTCGCCATCTCGCTGGGGGCGGAATGGACGCCCATACGTAGTCGCGCTCCGTGGCGTCCTATGCAGAGAGCGGCCCTCCGCAGAGCGGCGCGACATCGCCGCCCGGGCGGTTCGGAGAAGAATCCTCCTTTCTTTTTCCCACTGCCCCCTCCCGGGCACGGGAGCAGGCAGAAATGGGTACGACACGAGGACTTCCCGGGGGTCACCCTCCCTGCCAGTACTGCTCTCGCCCACTGGCGCTTAGCTGCGGAGTTCTGATGGGATCCGGCGTAGTAGCCAAGGTATGATCGTACCACGTGCAGTCCTGTCCGCGGTCCGCTTCCCACTCCTCCCCGATGCAGCTCCCCTCTTTATAGTCACATCCGCGTCGTGCCCGCAAGAGGCTCGCCATCTCGCTGGGGGCGGAATGGACGCCCATACGTAGTCGCGCTCCGTGGCGTCCTATGCAGAGAGCGGCCCTCCGCAGAGCGGCGCGACATCGCCGCCCGGGCGGTTCGGAGAAGAATCCTCCTTTCTTTTTCCCACTGCCCCCTCCCGGGCACGGGAGCAGGCAGAAATGGGTACGACACGAGGACTTCCCGGGAGGTCACCCTGCCCAGAACTGCTCTCGCCCACTGGCGCTTAGCTGCGGAGTTCTGATGGGATCCGGCGTAGTAGCCAAGGTATGATCGTACCACGTGCAGTCCTGTCCGCGGTCCGCTTCCCACTCCTCCCCCGAGGCAGCTCCCCTCTTTATAGTCACATCCGCGAACGTGCCCGCAAGAGGCTCGCCATCTCGCTGGGGGCGGAATGGACGCCCATACGTAGTCGCGCTCCGTGGCGTCCTATGCAGAGAGCGGCCCTCCGCAGAGCGGCGCGACATCGCCGCCCGGGCGGTTCGGAGAAGAATCCTCCTTTCTTTTTCCCACTGCCCCCTCCCGGGCACGGGAGCAGGCAGAAATGGGTACGACACGAGGACTTCCCGGGAGGTCACCCTGCCCAGAACTGCTCTCGCCCACTGGCGCTTAGCTGCGGAGTTCTGATGGGATCCGGCGTAGTAGCCAAGGTATGATCGTACCACGTGCAGTCCTGTCCGCGGTCCGCTTCCCACTCCTCCCCCGAGGCAGCTCCCCTCTTTATAGTCACATCCGCGAACGTGCCCGCAAGAGGCTCGCCATCTCGCTGGGGGCGGAATGGACGCCCATACGTAGTCGCGCTCCGTGGCGTCCTATGCAGAGAGCGGCCCTCCGCAGAGCGGCGCGACATCGCCGCCCGGGCGGTTCGGAGAAGAATCCTCCTTTCTTTTTCCCACTGCCCCCTCCCGGGCACGGGAGCAGGCAGAAATGGGTACGACACGAGGACTTCCCGGGCGGTCACCCTGCCCAGTACTGCTCTCGCCCACTGGCGCTTACGCTGCGGAGTTCTGATGGGATCCGGCGTAGTAGCCAAGGTATGATCGTACCACATGCAGTCCTGTCCGCGGTCCGCTTCCCACTCCTCCCCCGAGGCAGCTCCCCTCTTTATAGTCACATCCGCGAACGTGCCCGCAAGAGGCTCGCCATCTCGCTGGGGCGGAATGGACGCCCATACGTAGTCGCGCTCCGTGGCGTCCTATGCAGAGAGCGGCCCTCCGCAGAGCGGCGCGACATCGCCGCCCGGGCGGTTCGGAGAAGAATCCTCCTTTCTTTTTCCCACTGCCCCCTCCCGGGCACGGGAGCAGGCAGAAATGGGTACGACACGAGGACTTCCCGGGCGGTCACCCTGCCCAGTACTGCTCTCGCCCACTGGCGCTTAGCTGCGGAGTTCTGATGGGATCCGGCGTAGTAGCCAAGGTATGATCGTACCACATGCAGTCCTGTCCGCGGTCCGCTTCCCACTCCTCCCCCGAGGCAGCTCCCCTCTTTATAGTCACATCCGCGAACGTGCCCGCAAGAGGCTCGCCATCTCGCTGGGGGCGGAATGGACGCCCATACGTAGTCGCGCTCCGTGGCGTCCTATGCAGAGAGCGGCCCTCCGCAGAGCGGCGCGACATCGCCGCCCGGGCGGTTCGGAGAAGAATCCTCCTTTCTTTTTCCCACTGCCCCCTCCCGGGCACGGGAGCAGGCAGAAATGGGTACGACACGAGGACTTCCCGGGAGGTCACCCTGCCCAGTACTGCTCTCGCCCACTGGCGCTACGCTGCGGAGTTCTGATGGGATCCGGCGTAGTAGCCAAGGTATGATCGTACCACGTGCAGTCCTGTCCGCGGTCCGCTTCCCACTCCTCCCCCGAGGCAGCTCCCCTCTTTATAGTCACATCCGCGAACGTGCCCGCAAGAGGCTCGCCATCTCGCTGGGGCGGAATGGACGCCCATACGTAGTCGCGCTCCGTGGCGTCCTATGCAGAGAGCGGCCCTCCGCAGAGCGGCGCGACATCGCCGCCCGGGCGGTTCGGAGAAGAATCCTCCTTTCTTTTCCCACTGCCCCCTCCCGGGCACGGGAGCAGGCAGAAATGGGTACGACACGAGGACTTCCCGGGAGGTCACCCTGCCCAGTACTGCTCTCGCCACTGGCGCTACGCTGCGGAGTTCTGATGGGATCCGGCGTAGTAGCCAAGGTATGATCGTACCACGTGCAGTCCTGTCCGCGGTCCGCTTCCCACTCCTCCCCCGATGCAGCTCCCCTCTTTATAGTCACATCCGCGGTCGTGCCCGCAAGAGGCTCGCCATCTCGCTGGGGCGGAATGGACGATTCGTAGTCGCGTCGTGGCGTCTAGCAGAGGCGGCTCCGCAGAGCGGCGCGACATCGCGCCCTCGCCTGGGGTCGATCGATTTTTCGCCGCCCCCTCGATCTCGCCACCGCGCCTCGGCATCCCTCGCGTCACTTCACTGTTTCATAGGAGGTTATAAGTGTTTGTATCGGAGGTGTAACGGGAAGGTATCGGCAACGGCTAGGAGCGGGTGAGACGGAAGCGGCGGCGAACACGACCCTGCGGTGTCGAGCAAATTTTCGCCACCCCCGTCGATCTCGCCATCCCACCCCGGCCGAGTTCCCCGTCACTCTTGTTCGCCTTCCACTCCCTCCCTTTCTGTCTCCTAGACTGCCGCGTCGCGCGTTTCTTAGCTCTCTGGTTTCTAAAGCTTAGAACCGCGCCACGCCAGCAAACCCTAATTTAGTCTCCCTGCACGGCATCGTTTTTCACGATGCCCTTTCCTCCCCCGCTAAGCGCTCGACTTTAGGTAAGCACCCACGCCCCCTACGGTGCCCTTCACTCTTTCAGCGCGATTTCCTCTTCCAGAACGCCTTACTCCCCTCTGCCACCGTGCATCAATCCCCACTGCCACTTCGCGTCATTCCCCTCCGCCGCCGCGCGTCATTCCCCCTCTGTCCAGCGCGCCGTTTCCCTCTCACAGTTCGACATTTCCCCCTCTGTCCAGCGGGCCGTTTCCCCCTAGCTCGCCGTTTCTCCCTCCCCCCCAGCTCGACATTTCCCCCTCTTCCTCTGCTCGCCGTGTGCCCTCTTCCCCTGCTCGTCGTCCCTCCCTTCCCTACTCGCCGTTCCCCCCATTCCCAGCTCGCCGTCCCCCCCTTTCCCTGCCCGCCGTCCCCCCCCTTTTCCCTGCTCGCCGCCTCCCCCTCTCCCAGCTCGCCGTTCCCCCCTTTCCCTGCTCGCCGTCCCCCCCTTTCCCAGCTCGCCGTTCCCCCCTTTCCCAGCTCGCCGTCCCCCCCTTTCCCTGCTCGCCGTCCCCCCCTTTCCCAGCTCGCCGTTCCCCCCTTTCCCAGCTCGCCGTCCCCCCCCTTTCCCAGCTCGCCGTCCCCCCCTTTTTCCCTGCCCGCCGTCCCCCCCGTTCCCTGCTCTCCGTTCCCCCCGTTCCCAGCTCGACGTCCCCCCCGTTCCCAGCTCGACGTCCCCCCCTTTCCCAGCTCGCCGTCCCCCCCGTTCCCAGCTCGACGTCCCCCCCTTTCCCTGCTCGGCTTACCCCCCCTTCCCTGCCCGCCGTCCCCCCCTTTCCCAGCTCGCCGTTCCCCCCTTTCCCAGCTCGCCGTCCCCCCCCTTTTTCCCAGCTCGCCATCCCCCCCTTTCCCTGCTCGTCGTTTCCCCCTTCCCCTGCTCGCCGTCCCCCCCTTTCCCAGCTCGCCGTTCCCCCCTTTCCCAGCTCGCCGTCACCCCCCCTTCCCCAGCTCGCCATCCCCCCTTTCCCTGCTCGCTGCCCCCCCCGTTCCCAGCTCGACGTCCCCCCCTTTCCCTGCTCGGCTTACCCCCCCTTCCCTGCCCGCCGTCCCCCCCTTTTCCCAGCTCGCCGTCCCCCCCTTTTTCCCTGCCCGCCGTCCCCCCCTTTCCCTGCTCTCCGTTCCCCCCGTTCCCAGCTCGACGTCCCCCCCGTTCCCAGCTCGACGTCCCCCCCCTTTCCCAGCTCGCCATCCCCCCCTTCCCTGCTCGCCGTCCCCCCCTTTCCCAGCTCGCCGTCCCCCCCGTTCCCAACTCGACGTCCCCCCCTTTCCCTGCTCGGCTTACCCCCCCTTCCCTGCCCGCCGTTCCCCCCTTTCCCAGCTCGCCGTCCCCCCCTTTCCCAGCTCGCCATCCCCCCCTTTCCCTGCTCGCTGTTCCCCCTTTCCCTGCTCGCCGTTCCCCCCTTTCCCAGCTCGCCGTCACCCCCCTTCCCCAGCTCGCCATTCCCCCCTTTCCCTGCTCGGCTTACCCCCCCTTCGCTGCCCGCCGTCCCTCCCTTCCCACCTTGCTGTCCCGTCCCTGCTCGCCATCCCCTACCCCCCAGCTCGCCGTCCCCCCTTTTCTCAGCTCGCCGTCCCCCCCTATCCCTGCTCGCCGTCCCGCCCTTTCCCTGCTCAACGTCCCCTCTGCCCCTGCTCGCCATTTCCCCCCCTGCCTAGCTTGCCGCTTTCCCCTTTTCCCCGGCTCGCAATTTCTCCCTCTCCCCAGCTCGCCACCTCGCCCTCTGTCCAACTCGCCGCTGCCCCCTTCCCCCCAGCTCGCCGCTTCCCCGGCTCCACAGCTCGCCGTTTCCCCCCTGCCGCTGCCTTTCCCCACGTTGCCCGCTGCTTTTCCACCCTCGCCCGGTACTTCTCCCCCCTCTGCCCGCCGCTTCCCCCTTTGCCGCTGCTTTCTCCCCCTCGCCCGCTGCTCCTCCCTCTCGCCCGCTGCTGTTCCCCCTCCTTTGCTCGCTGTTTCTCCCCTTTTTTGCCGCCGCTTCCCCCCCCTTGCCTCTACTCTCCCTCCCTTGTCGCCAATTTTCCCCCCCTTTGCCTCTTGCTTTTCCCCCCTTGTCCATGGCTTTCCCCCCCAAGCCACTGCTCTGTCCCTCCTAGCCCGCAGTTTTTCCCTCGCCTGCCCGCTGTCTTTCACCCTGTGCCGCTCATTGTCCCCCCAATGCACGGTGCTGAGCTGTTTTCTCCCACTTGCCCGCTGCTTTTCCCCCCTTGCCCGTTGCCTTTTTCCCCCTTGCCCGTTGCCTTTCCCTCACTCGCCCTTGCTCTTCCCCCCCTTACCCGCTGCTATTCCCCCCCACGGACGCTGTTTCTCCCCCCTCTGCCCACTGCTCTTCCCCCCTTGCCCGCCGATTTTCTCCCCCTTGCCCGTTGTTTTTCAGTCCCTTGCCCCTGCCTTAGCCCCCTTGCCCGCTGTTATTCCCCCCTTGTCCGCTGCTTTTCCCCCTGTTCTGCTGCTTTTCCCCCCTGTTCTGCTGCTTTTCCCCCCTTCGCCCGCTGCTTTTCCCCCCTTCTTTGCCCGCTGCTATTCCCCCCTTGCCCGTTGCCTCCCCCTCCCTTGCCCCTGCTCTTCCCCCCCTTGCCCACTGTGGCTCCCCCCTTTGCCCACCGCTTCCCCCCCCTCGCTTGCTGCTTCTCCCCCCTTGCCCGTTGCCTTTCCCACCCTTGCCCACTGCTTTTAGCCCTTTGCCGCTGCTCTTCCCCCCTTGCTCGCTGCTTCTCCCCCCCTTGCCTGTTGCTTTACCCTCCCTTGCCCCTGCTTCCCCCCCCCCCCTTGCCTGCTGTTATTTGCCCTTTGCCTGCTGCTTTTCCCCTGGTCCGCTGCTTCTCCCCCCTTGCCCACTGCTATTCCCCTCTGGCCCGCTGCTTCTTCCCCCCTGCCCGTTTTGCGGCCCATTTGGTCCCACCCATCCTTCGGTCCTCCCTCCACTCCCGACCCTCTCCGTTGATTGCCCACTTCCCCCCCCACATTCCCCCATTTTCTTCGTGTTCATCCCTCCCTTCCCCCCCCTGGTTCCCCCACTCGTATCCCCTCCCGTTCTCCCCTACTGTCCCCCATTGTTTCCCCCTCGTATTCTATCCTGCTTTCTTCTCCTTTCCCCCTGTTTCCCCTCCCTTCCCCCTTGCCCACTATCCCTCCCATTGCCCACTGCTTCCCCCCCCCTTGCCCACTGTTTCTCCCCGATTGCCCACTGCCTTTCCCCCCTTGCCCATCACTCCTTCCCGCTTGCCCACTGCTGTTCCCCTCCTTGTCCTCTACTCTTCCCCTGTTGCCCACCGACTTTCTCCCCTAGCCCACTGATTTCCCCCCCTTACTCATTGCTCTTCGCCTTTTTGTCCAGTGCGTTTCTCCCCTTTCCTCACTGCTCTTCCGCCCCTTGCTCTCTGACCTTCCCCTCCCTGCTCCCGCCAACTCACACGTCAGCCTCCACCCTCGTATTCTATCCTGCTTTCTTTTCCTTCCCCCCTGTTTCCCCTCCCCTCCCCCTTGCCCACTATCCCCCCATTGCCCACTGCTTCTCCCCCCCTTGCACACTGTTTCTCCCCGATTGCCCCCTGCCTTTCTCCCTTTGCCCATCTGCTAGCCGTTCCCTCCTCTGTCTAGTTCGCCATTTCCCCCTCTGCCCAGCCCGCCGTTCCCCACTCTCCCCAGGTCGCCATTTCCCCCTCAGCCCAGACCGCCACTCCCCCCCCCTCTCCCCAGCTTGCCATTTCCCCCTCTCCCCAGCTTGCGAGTCCCTCCTTGCTTCTGCTTCTCCCCCTTGACGCTGTTTCCCCCCCCCCCCCTTGCCTCTGTTTTCCCCCACTTCCCCGGCCCGCCGCTCCCCCGCTCCCCTGCCCGCCGCTCTCCCGCTTCCCTGCCCGCTGCTCCCCCGCTTCCCTGCCTGCTGCTCCCCCCCACTTTCCCTGCCTGCTGCTCCCCCCCACTTTCCCTGCCCGCTGCTCCCCCCACTTTCCCTGCCCGCTGCTCCCCCGCTTCCCTGCCCGCTGCTCCCCGGCTTCCCCCACTCCCCCCCAGGTCTCCCCCCCTTCCCTACCAGGCTTCCCCCTATACCCCCTCCAGTTTCCCCCTAGTACCTCCCTGTCTCCCCCACCCCTCTTCCCGGTTCCGTGATATCTCCCCCCACTGTTTCCCAGGAGTCTGCCCTCCGTTTTCCCCATCCCTCCCCCCGTGCCCACTACTCTTCCCCCTCCTTGTCCACTGCTGTTCCCCCTCCTTGCCCACTGCTTGTCCCTACTTGCCCACTAACTCTACGCACTTACCCACACATTTTCTCTCCCGGCTCACGCGTTTCCCTCCCGTGCCCATTGCTTTTCCCCCGTGCCCACTGCCATTCCCCTCCTTTCTCCCCACTTTTGCCCACTATCGTTCCCCCTCACTGCCCACTGCTACTTTTCCCTGCTGCCTTTCCTCACGTGCCCGCTGCTTCTCCCCCCTTGCCCGCTGCTCTTCTACTCTCGCCAGTTGCTTTTCCCTTCCTTGCCCCTGCTTTTCCCCCCCTCGCCCGCTGTTATCCCCCCCTTGTCCGCCGCTTGTCCCACCCCTTGCCCGCTGTTTTCCCCTCTTTGCCCGTTGCCTTCCCCTCCCTTGGCCCTGCCTTTCCCCCCCATTGCCCGCTGTCATTTTCCCCCCATTACCCGCTGCTTTTCCCCCTGGCCTGTTGCTTTTCCCACTGGCCTGTTGCTTGCCCGTTGCCTTTCCCACCCTTGCCCGTTGCCTTTCCCCCCCCTTGCCTGTCGCTTTTCCCCCTTTGCCGCTCGTCTTCCCCCCTTACCCGCTGATTCTCCTCCCCTTGCCCGCTACCTTACCCTCTCTTGCCCCTGCTTTCCCCCCCTTGCCCACTGTTATTCGCCCATTGCCAGCTGCTTTTCCCCCTGGTCCGCTGCTTCTCCTCCCTTGCCCGCCGCCATTCCCCCCTGGCCCGTTGCTTCCCCCCCCCTGTGTTCCCGCTGCTTTCCCCCCCGCCTCCCCGCTGTTCGTCCCCCCCTGCCCGTTTCGCTGCCCATTGGGTCCCACCCATCCTCCGGTCCTCTCTCCACTCCCGACCCTCTCCTTTGATTACCCACTTCCCCCCCCGCTTTCCCCCATTTTCTTCGTGTTCCTCCCCCCTTCCCCCCTTGGTTCCCCCACTCTTATCCCCGCCCGCTCTCCCCTACTGTCCCCCGTTGTTTCCCCCTCGTATTCTATCCTGCTTTCCACTCTTTTCCCCTTGTTTCCCCCTCCCTTCCCCCTAGCCCACTACTTTTCCCCCCATTGCCCACTGCTTTTCCCCCCTCGCCCACCATTCCTCCCCCCTTTGCCCACTGCCTTTCCCCTCCTTGCCCACCCCCTTCCTCCCCATTGCCCACTGCTGTTCCCCGCCCTGCCCTCTACTCTTCCCCCGCTGCCCACTGACCTTCCCCCTGGCCCACTGATTTCCCCCCCTTGCCCACTGCTCTTCGCCTCTTTTGCCCAGTGCGTTTTCTCCCTCTTCCTCGCTGCTTTTCCGCCCCTCGCCCTCTGATTTTCCCCCCCTTGCTCCCACCAACTCACACGTCAGTTTCCACCCCCGAAATCGTCCCGCCCCACACCCGGTGCTCTTCACTCCTCCCCCCCTCTCCTTCCAGTTCCCCCTGTCCCTGCAGGCTGTTTCTTTCCATGTTGTCCTATCCCCGTTTCCCCACCTTCCCCCCGTACGTCTCCCCACAGTCGAGCGCCATAACCCTCCTCTAATCGCCGCCCCCTGTTCTCTCCCTATCCTCCCCCCCCTGTCCCCCTCCCCACTCCACGCAGTTTCTCTGATCTCACCTTCTTTCCCCGCTGTTTTCCTCCCTCCCTTCCCCCCCTGCTTCCCCCTCCTCCCCCTCTTCTAGCATGCAGTCCCCGTGGCCATGACCCACACCCCCTGCAATGGGGGGGAGGGCGGCCCCGGTGCTCTCCGACGGTCAGGCAGAGCCGGTAGCCGCCCTTCCCCCTACTCATCGTCTTCCATCCCCCCACCCAACAGTATCGCCCCGCCAGCCCGCGTCGAGGTGACCGTCGGCAAGGGCGGGGACCAGGTGCGCTCTGCCTCGCGAGGCCGGAAACGACCACGGGAGAAGGCAGAGGAAGGCCCCGCCTCACGCCTGGAGAAGCAGGAGCGCGAAGCCACACGCTCGCGCTCCCATGGTCGCAAAAAGTCATCTGCCCCCCCTCCGCCACTCCCACAGGCCAACACTAGCGCCAGGAGAGCCCCCACCTCCTCCACACCCATGGCCACATGTAGCAAGGCTGGCACAGGTGAGGCCGCAGCAGGGCCTGTGGCAGGGGATGGGGATGCGGCAGCACCGGGGGGTCCTGCAGAGGTGGCAGCAGAGATGCGGGTGTGGGAGGTGAAAGAGGGGGTGACGGAGAGGGCGGAGGGGGAAAGATCGGCAGAGCCGGTGGGGGCTGGTGAGGACTCAGAGTGGGACGAGGCCGGGGACTCGGATGGGGACAACGCGAAGGACTCGGACTGGGTTTTGGAGGGCGCCGAGGACTCGGATGAGGACGTAGTTGAGCTCATAGCACCCGCTCCTAGTGCAGCCAGGCTCGAGGCCGGGTCCTCAGCAGGGGAGCCAGCGACGGGAGCTGTGGGGTTGGCAGGAGCGGCAGCTGGAGCGGAGGCGGAGGGGGAGGTGGCACGGGCTGGGGTAGAGAGGGCAGCATTAGAGGGTATGGCCCGGGCCTATGCGCAGTCCATGGCCGCATGTGGTGCGGCGCCGGAGGCAGCAGCAGGAGAGGCTGCAGGTGTGGCAACTGCAGGGGCGGTTGCAACAGTGGCAGCCATCAGGACCGCGGCAAAGGAGGCTGCCGCAGGAGTCACCGCAGGGGGTACTCCAGCGGAAGCTGCTATGGCAGAGGCAGAGGCAGGAGAGGCTGCATGGGGGAAGGTGGAAAAGGCGGCTGCAGAGGCGGCAGCAGCACGGGCTGTAGCCGCAGGGGGAGGAACGACAGCCGTGGTGGGAGGGGCGGCTGTGGGGGCTGCCGCAAAGGCCTTTGCAGAAGTGGCAGCAGCTCCAGCACCGGCAGAGGCGCAGGCACCTGGGCCGGTTGCAACGGGGGCGGCAGAGGGAGACCCTGCAGAGGTAGCAGCCGCTGGGGGTGGGGCCGCTCCAGAGTTGGCAGCAGCTGGGGGGGTGGTCGCGGCGGCGGCAGCAGCAGCTGGGGCTGCAGCAGAGACGGTGGCAGCGGGAGCATGGGCAGCGGCGCCAACAGCTGGGGCCTCCGTGGAGGAGGCGGCAGCAATGGATCATGCAAGAGGTGCATCGGCTCGGGCTCGGGCTCGGGATGCGGCAGAGGCAGTAGCAGCAGGGGCCACAGGGGCAGCCGGGGCGGATTTGGGGACAGCAGCAACAGCAGGCGCCCCTGCAGAGGCGGCAGAGGCAGGAGCAGCGGCGGTGCGGGCGGCGACAGCGGCAGGAGCTGGAGCTGCCACCGCAGAGGAGGCAGCAGCAGCCGATCTTGCGAGGGGCGCAGCGACCGGGGCTCGGGATGCCGCAGAGGCGGTGATGGCTGGGGCCGCTGCAGCGGCCAGGGTGGCTGCCGGGGAAGCAGACGAAGGAGTCCCTGCTGAGGCGGCGGGGGCAGGGACAACGGCAGAGGCAGCAGCAGCAGCAGCGGCAGCAGCAGCAACAGGAGCACGTGCAGGGGCGGCTGCTGGTGCGGCAGGGATAGGAGAGCCGCCGGAGGCGGCAGCAGCGGCAAGGCTACCTACGGCGGAGGAGGCAGGAAAGGGAGCTGTTGTACGCGCTCTCGCACGGGCTATTACCGGGGGGGGATGTATGCACGTCTGGCAGCGGCTGCGGCAGCAGCGGAGGAGGCAGAGATAGGGGCCGCTGCGGGGAAGGCAGCCAGGGGGAGCGCCACAGGGAAACCAGCAGCAAGTGCTGCGGCAGGGAAGGCAGCAGCGGGGGCAGCGGCAGGGAAAGTAGCAATGGGTCCCGCTGTTTCGCAGGCAGCGGCTAGCAGGGCCGCGACAGCGGCGGCGGCGGCAACGGCGGCGGCGGCGGCTGCGGTGGTGTCAGCGGAAAAAGGGGCAGCAGGGGGTGCCGCACCGGGGGCAGTAGCGGAAGCGGCTGCAGGGAAGGTAGCAGCAGGATCAGCAGGGCGTGCCGCGGGGGAGACAACTGCCGGGGTAGCTGCGGGGATGGCAGCAACAGGAAGGGCAGCTGGGGCGGCAGCAGGGAAGGCAGCAACAGCAGCAACACGGGCAGCGGCAAGAGGTGCTGCACGGGAGAGGGCAGCGGGAGCCGCTGCAGGAAGGGCAGCAGCTGCGGCAGCTCCAGCAGGAGGTGTGGTGAGAGAGACAGCAGCCGGAGCGGCCGAAGGTAAGGCAGTAACTGGGACGAGGGCTAAGGAGGCAGGACACAGGGCAGCACCTGGGCCGGAAGAGACTGTCTCATCCCCTCCCACCCCCTCCATCTCCCCCCTCCCCCCCCCTCCTTCCCCTCCTCCCCCTACTTCCCTTGCGGTCCCCCGTCCCCCCTTCCCCCCCCTACTCCCAATCCCATGCATGCAGGGGCTTCACCAGCGGCGCAGGGCCCTCGCCGTGGGCTACAACCCAGGGCTATGGGCGGGGCGGCCCGAGCCTTGGCGTTTTTGGCGGACCCCTGTACACCCGAGCCAATGATCGGGACGCAGTCTCACCACTCCCTCTCCCCCCACACCCTCCCCTTACAGCCGAGTGTGCCCCACGAGGCGGCCGCCGAGGATGGCTCGGACAATGATGGCCCGCTCGCCGGATATATCTTGGTCGACTCAACCCTTCCATGCTCTCCCTCATCAGCCCTCGCGCCGGCGCCAGGAGCACAAACAACAGCCGGGCAGGTTGCTCCCTCCCCCTCCCCACCCACGCAGGCTGTCGCGCCGGACGCCTCGACCTGGGTAGCACAAGGAGGGGCGGCTCTTGCCCAACCCCCCTCGTCAGTCCGCCCCCAACCCTGTTCCACCCCAGGTGTCTCCCGCCCGGCACAGGGCACACACCCTGTCGGCCACATGGGCGCTTCCCATAGGAACGGTGAGCGGGGTGCACCCCCGGCAAGGGGGAGCAACCCGAATCAACTCCCTCTCGGCCCTCGCCGTCTCACCCCGGCTGATCCCACTTCCCAAGCCCCACAGCTAAGCTTCGGGCAAGGCGGGGGTCCCTCGGCGCCCACTCTGCTTCCCTTCCAGGCCGTGGGCCCTACCTTGCCCGCGTCCCGCCCCCCCCTCCCTCTCCCACACATCCCACCCGCCCCCTTTCCCCGGCAATCCAGCCGGAACTCCCCTCGCGCCCTTTCGTGCAGCCCCCAGGTTTCATGTCCCGCACGGCAGGCGACCACGGGAGTGCCTCCCTCTTGGGCCCTCCCTTGTCACTTCCGTCTCACACACCCTCCAGCCCAGCGCTGGGGCACCCACCCTTCCCACCCCCTCCATTGAGCGTCCCACCCACGCTTAACCCTTACCCTACTGCCCAACCACCTCTCTTGCCCTGCCCCCCCACTCCCGCCCGGCCCATCAGCGCGAACAGGGGCGAGGCGAGGGCGGCCCCCCCATCTCACCCTCCCCCTTCCTGCCCCACACACTCCTTGCCCGTCAGTATTCAGGTGGTCGCAGCGAGCCACCCATCCGCGATGGACGTCGACAAAACAGGAGTAGGGGACCTGCATGATGTCTCCTCCCAACCCTACATCCCCCCTTACCGTCGCTCCGCACAGGCAGCGATGTCGGCAGACGCCCAGGGGGAAGGGGACGGGGAAGGTGTCGGGGGAGGGCGGGGCCTCACGGATGGCGCTGCCGATTCCACCACCGCCACCACCCCTCTCTTTCCCCCCCTGTCCCCATCTGCACCCGCCCCAGGGCAGGCCGCCATCCATGCGCAGGCTAGCCCATCGCGGCAGGCGGCCATCGGCGGCCACACCCCCTCACCCTCCCAGCTGCCCCATTCTCACACTCCTCACCCACAGCAGGGGGCGGTCACACGGCAGCCACTGATTGGACAGTTTGCCCAACCCCACACAGGTCGCCGGAAGAAGGGCAAGGGCAAGGGGACACCCGGGGCAGCCCGGCGCTCGGAGCAGCCGGACACGACTCCACCCTCTGCTGGCGCGCAGCCCTTACCAGCCACCACCCCTCAGGCGACCCCATCATTGCCCCCGGCCTGCCACCCACTGCCCTCCCATAACCAGGATGGCGAGCTTCGGACGGTCTCCCTCCCTCGCCCCACCCAGGCCTCACTCCCCTGTCACCCCCCCATCCCGCCCCTGGCCCCCCACCAGACAGTCGCCGCCGATGCCCCATCCGCGATGGAAATCGAACCGGCGGTGGAAGAGGGGTCGTTAGCCTCTCGCAAGCAAGCCTATATCCCCCCCCAGCGTCGGTCCCCACCACCCGCTTCTTTGTCCCCCTCCGGTCCACAACCTCCGACCCAGGCCAGGTCCCACGGTGGTTCGCCCACCACGACCAACCAGCCTGCCCTGCTCCCCCTACCCACAGGCGGACAGTCGCAGGGGGCAGATGGGGAGACGGAGGCGGCAGTTGCCGACCTTCTCAGGATATGGGACGCGTCCGCCACCCCCTCTGCGCCCGCTTGTCCGGGTCGGGTGGGGGGGGGCACCGTGGACCCTGCTCCAGACATCTCCCATGCCCCCCCTTCCCCCCCGTCCACCGCCCTCACACCGGAGCGCATGGTGATCGATGACTCCGACGCGGCCCCCGACCACCCCCTCTGCCCAGACGCATCCACTGCTCCAGCTGCCCACACCCCAGCTCCTACGTCCCCCGGCGAGGCCACTGAGCTAGCCTGCCATCCAGACGCATGCCCCGCCCTAGCCACTGTCCCCTTGGTCGTACCATCCTCACCCACGCCCGCGCATCCCGCCGTCGCTCCTCCCCCCGGCCATTGCCTTGCCCGCCCCAGACGCACGGCCCGCCCCCCACTTGGGCCACCGACCTCGGACAGGGGCCCATCGAAGAGGCGGTCGTCGGCGCTGATAGCTCGGAGAGCACGATGCCAGTCCCCCCGCACGACACAGCGGTGCCGACAGGAGGACTAGCGGTCACGTGTCCTACCTGCCGGAGCACCTTGGTGAGCAGCCACGCTCTTGCTCTCCATGCACCCCATTGCCAGCCCGCCGATGCTCTACGCAGGGCGGAGGCCCTGCAGGATGCCACCTCTTCCCCTCCCTCATTCAGCGAGCCACGCGCCTCCGTCGTCACATTCTCGGACGTCCAGTGGTCGTCCTTGGATGCGGTCGATTGGACGGATTATTTCTCACCGAGACGCATGCATGCTCGCCCGCTCCGGCGTATCCCGCCGAGGGTTCGCGGGGGGTACGTGGATGTCCTCTGCGCGATCTTGCAGCGCATCAGCCAGCACCCCAGGGCGGGCGGGCCGACGTTTCTGCTGTTGGCCATCCCGACCCTCCTCCTCACGCCCGCTACACCACCTGCACGATCACATACGGCGGCCATCACTGCGCGCATTGCGCGCTTCCTTGGTGGAGATTGGGACGCCCTCATAGCAGAGGCGCTCCACCGCCGCACACCCCTCGCGGCATGCACGACACGCCGCGCCCGCGCCGCGACTCCGACGCCTGACGAGCGCCGCATTGCCCGTTGCCTCCGCCTGGCAGCGTGCAATGAGACGTCACGTGCTTGTGCGGCCTTGGAGTCGGCAGAGGCGGCCCCGGACGGAGATCAGACGGTGCACCGCCTACGGGCGAAGCACCCTTGCGCGGAGCGCCCCATCCCAGCATGGGTGGCCTCCTTCCGGGATGCAGCCCTGGTCCTGAGCATTGAGCATCTGCGCAGGGCCATTTTCACCGCTCCGAGGGGCTCTTCGGGAGGACCTTCGGGATGGGTGGCCGAGCACTTCCGCGACACCTTCTTGGCCTTCCCGAAGGCCCTCCCTACCTTGCTTGCTGTCTACCAGCAGTGGCTCCGGGGCGACTGCGCCCCGGCCGCACTTCCCATGCTGGCATCATCCACCCTCGTCGCGCTCTCCAAGCCGAACATGGACGTTCGGCCGATAGCCATAGGCGAGGTCCTTGCGCGCCTACTCCAGCGGGCGGCATGCCTGCAGTTGCGCGAGCCGATGGCTCGAGTCTTTCTACCATCACAGCAGTTCGGGGTCGGGGTGACCTGCGGTACTGAGCTGGTCGTTAGGGGCGTCCGTCGCGGCAGGGCGGACCACCCGGACTGGGTGGTCGTCGAGCTCGACGTGGCGAACGCCTTTAACTCGTATCACCGCGATCGCTTGTTCGAGGCACTGCGAGCGAGCTCCGAGTTTCGCTGCCTCATCCCTTTCGTTGCCCTTTTCTACGGCACGCCATCCTCGCTGTTCTTTCGGACCGGGCGAGGAGTCACCACCATCCGCTCAGAGCGAGGATCTCGTCAGGGCGACCCTCTGAGCCCATTTCTCTTTGCCCTGACACAGAGGCTGGCACTGGAGCCAGTGCTGGCGGACGGGACGTGCAGCTGTGGTCATACGCGGATGACACGTACGTCCTGGGCACACCAGAGAGGGTGTTGCAGAGCTTCACTGCCATTCAGAGGCGCTTGGGCGAGCTGGGCCTCTCGGTCCAGCCGCACAAGTGCCTGGTCTACCCAGCGGCGTCCACACGACCGGAGGAGTTGGCAGGCTTCACCGCCCTCGGCCTCGATGTCGCGCGCCGGGTTTGACGGTTGCGGGGGTGCCTGTCGGCACGGAGGATTTCGTCCACACGAGACTCAGGGAGCGCCTGGAGCGGATGGCCCGAGTGCTGCCGTGGCTGCCTAGGTTGCGTGACCCCCAGGTGGCTGCGCACCTGCTCTCAGCATGCGTCAGCACGCGCCCTCAGTACCTAGCGCGCACGGTCCCGCCCACACAGGCGGTGCGCTCCATCTTCGCGCGCTGGGACGATGGCCTCGGCGAGGCCTTCCAGCGGCTATTTCGTCGCGGGCACCTGGAGCGGAGGAGGAGAGATACGCGGCGCGGCCTTGGACCAGGCATTTCTGCCCATTAGGCTGGGCGGATTCGGCATCCGCCGCATGGCGCGCGCGGCGCCAGCGAGCTACCTCTGCTCCTGGGCGCAGTGCGCCCCCATCCTCTGCTCCCTCCCACAGATCGGTGAGTCCTTCAGACGGGCGCTCGCGGCGGAGGACCCCGCAGGGATCGATCCCCACATCGCGACGGCTTTGGCAGACCTTCCACCGTCAGTCCGGGCCTTGCTGCCACCCCTGTCCTCTTGCATCTCGAGCGCGCCGGACGGTCTGTTTTCTGAGGTGAGTCGGCACCTAGAGGCGGCGGCATTAGAGTCCGTTCGTGGACGTCACACTGACCCTTTGCATCTTGCCCGTTTGACATCCCTTCAGGGCGCAGATGCAGGCGCGTGGCTCACGGCGGTCCCTTATGCAGATCCACTGCGCATCCCGGAGGCGCAGTGGCAGGTGGCTTCATGTTTTCGCCTTGGTCTGTCTATCCCCCAGTTAGCCCTTACAGGTCATTGCTCGTGCGGACGGGAGATCGAGGACATGTCGGTGCCCCACCACGTCGTACGCTGTCAGCACTACCACGTCACCACGACCGTCCACAACGCCGTGAAGTACGTCCTTCGCGACATCGCGCGCGAGGCGGGTTTCGCGGTCAG